CCTTCTGTGACCCCTCAGTTTTTGCTGCAAATATACCTGTTTAGAAATATGCAGCTACTTCATCATTCTCAGTCGACATCTCTATAGAAACATCACAATAGAGGAGTAGAGATCCCTGGCCTTGGTTTTATGTAAGTTTACCTTTGCTGTAAAAGGTTGTAAGATAATAATCACTCCTGTGCTTCTCTTGGAAAATAGATGAGAAACAATTTCACGAGTGAAATTTAAAAGAATAAATTTATTAAAAAAAAACAGATCTTTTCTAGAAAGATAAAAAATATAAACTTATATGACTTCCCAGCCGTTTAAGAGAGTATGTTTAGTATACATTTGTATAATATAGAATGAACATGGTAAAATATAATATCAAGAGACCCCTTTGTATTGTCAAAGGAAGTTAAAGAATATGTCCAGGCATTGTGAGAGAAAGGAAGGCCTCTCATCTGGAGAATATTCTTGTTCAAATCAGATAAACTTTAAGGTAATTACCAAATTTAGAATTATACATAACAATCAGCAAAACATTCCTAATGAGACAGTGATGCTAGCTCTGGATGCTTAGAGACCAGGTACCTTTGGCAAGATTATGCTTTCAAAGAGCCAAGCTGCTAATGGGACCCAAGGAAACTAGTAAAAGTATTGCTGATGCTGGCAGAGTCCCTCATGGCTCTCTTCTGATGAGACATCAGGTCATCTTGGGCTGTGTTCACAGCCACTGTGCCCCAGAGGCCAATATTCATTTAAAAGATAATACGTCACAAAGAGCCCCTCCCATCTGCATCTTTGTGCATGGATTGGCCTGGAACCAGATCACTGGGAGCTTTGTGAGGGGTTGGGGGTGAGGGTTGTTGCAAACTTCCATCTCCACATTTGGGAAATGGATATCAAACTCTGTCACTGCCTTACTTGTTTTTAGCAAAGAGTAAATGACAATGATTAAAAAGCACCTAGTAGAATATCTGTTATTATTAGTTTGGTTGTTTATTGGAGATCAGATTCTCATGGGCTTTTCTGCTGAAGCTGGCTTCATCACAATCATCAGATCTCAGCCTCCTGACTAGCAAGGATTGTCTTATTATATTTACATAATTATACCATACACTTTTCTAATAAGGAAGAATCTTTGAGTATGCTTAACTATACCATATGTTTTAAAAATATACAATGCTCCAACAGCCATCACAAGCATTCCTCAACAGCTAAAAGTTGCTTTCTTTAAAGCTCAAGTATTTTTATGATGACAAACAAAACCAAGGTACCAATGCTTTGATCCCTTTTTCAGCTCAGTATTGGTTAGATTGTCATTGTAGTCATGCCCCAGAAATCTCACTGGCATTTCCAACTTGGAGTGGAAGATTTTATGCAAGTGTATGCATCGCACATTGTGATGTACTCTTTGGGATGCAGATAACATACAAATGCAACAGCCCTAAAATTTACAGAACATTTGGAAGCCTGCATGATACCAAAATCCTCTGCAATATACACTCTCCATGTCTGGAATATCCTAAACTTCATTCTTGTCATTCGTCATGCTGGGCAGGCAAACCTCTGTTTTCTGATCTAATCAACTTCACAACAATTGCGAGGCCAACAGCTGTGTCAGAGCAATTGGAAAAAATAGATTTAGAACAAAGAGGAAGACCCGTCTCTCTGGGACATCTCCCTCTGGAACACAGGCTTGGTCTCAATGGAATGCATAAATATTTCATTCACTATTTTGTACTGCATTCCTCGCATGATTTATATGGCTGGCCCATACTCTTAAAAAGTACATTAACATCTCCCTTTAAAGGCATCTCCGCTAAGCCTGCCTCCTTTACTTAATGGTCCTGGGGGGGGCGGAGGGTTGCAGCCCTTAGGAGAATGTGTGGATTCTCCCCCCTCCCCCCACAACAACCACAGAACAGCTACTAGCTGTGAGACTCTTGGCTTGGTGTTTCTTCCACTTGTGATATTTGAGAGGGGTGGTGATAGCTCTGGACAACTGTCTTGAAACAGTGGGAGATACTGCAAAGAGAAATGGAGGAACAGGCCGACAGAGGAAGGGCAAAAAGAAGACAGCAGAGAGGAGTGTGTGTGTGTGTGTGTGTGTGTGTATGCCCACACACGCACACCACGCACCCATGCACACATGCATACACGCCTCCACACACTGGGTTGCAATGTCACAAGTGGACCAGGATTCCAAGGCCAGTGTGGAAGGATCAGTATGGTCCCCTTCAGACACGAATGTCTGTTACAATTAGACGAAAAGGGGATTGTAGTAAATGTAAGATGACTATGATCTCTGTCTGTGGCATTCTCTATTTAATGGTGGCCATATTGAAAATCAGTAGTAAGCACTAAAAATGAAGTTGTGCTTCTCAGCGATTTCATTTGTTCTCATCCAGTGAGATCTTTCTCCATGGAACTGGAAGGTCAGTGGCCCTCCTGCCCACTCTTTTCCATCCTACACCCTCACAGAGGGTGACATATATTCCAGCATATTCTCAGGGTCAGATTCTGCAAGCTCCATCTGGCTGAAGATTAGAAGCAAGGAGTCGGAAAGAGTGGATTCTTTTATCCTTTGTCTCCAGACAGGAGTCCTTCTAATTTTCCATTGTTATGTTTACTTTGTTCTTTTACTTTGTTTCTTCTTTTGCATTATAACTTGTTCCATTGATCTCAGAGCGATGATGAATTCATCCTGGCAGTCACCCTTCAGTTTTTTCATCCTGGAAGTCAACCTTCAGTTTTTTCATAATCCCCTGTTTTCCTTTTACTACCTGTGTAAACAATTTCCTGCACCAAATTGGTTTTTGTTGTTTAGTTTACTTTAAAAAAATCAGCATAGATTCGGTCTTCGACCTCTCTTCCCCCATGAGGCCCTCTATAAGAGCTGAGGTGTAAAGGACCGGCAATGAACAGCTCAAGTTGGGTACTGGTGGCTCAAATCTGTAATCCTAGTTATTGAGAAGACTGAGACCTGAAGATTGCAGTTTGAAACCAGACATAGAAGACAGGGAAGTTTGTGAGACTTTTAACTCCAACAAGCCATTAACACACACACACACACACACACACAGCTGTAAAATAAAGACAAAGAATATTCTGAACAGAAAGTGAAGCTTATGCCCCTTGAATAGGGAGGAAGAACACAGCAAAGGTCCAAGGTGAAGGTCATGGAGCTTAGAGTTCACAGTCTGAAGATCTCAGTGAGATTAAAGGCATTTAAGAGTTTTAAATAGAAGTAGAGAGAATGGTTTTGTTTTGGTTTGTTTCTGTTTGTCTTAGGGGAAAGTATTTCAGGGATTTTTAGTTTTACTTTGGACTTAGGATCTTCTGCTTGGTAGGCAGGTAATCTACCATTTGCACCACATTTAAGCCTATTTTTACTTTTTCCTTGCCTGTGTTGTGATTTTTACTTATTTTTGACCATTTGTACTCTTTTAAGTTACTTTTCAGATAAGAGTCTCACAGTTTCGCCCAATGCAGTTTCCGAGTGAGGTTCCTCTTTTCTATATATCTGCATAGCTTGCATCACAGACATATGGTGCCATGCCTGAGAGGGAGCATGTTTTAATTTACAGTTTTAGAAGATCACTCTGACTATCTTTTCTTTTGAGGGAGAGGAAAGGGATGTCAGGTGGCTGGAGATGGGACAATGTGATAGCTCTGGAGAAGGTGCCAAATATAATGTGCAAAGACAGCAGATAAGATTGTTGATGAACAGAATGTCAGTGTAAGGATAAGAAAGAAGAAAAGACAAATGTGGTTTTTGGTGAAACAATGAATAAACCAAAGTCACTCTCAATCTGTTTCCATGGTCATGATTGTCCCTAGTGAACTTTCTTTTTCTTGAGAAGTAGTCACTCCCAAATGTAAAAATAGTTCTTTTTTTGCCAACATTTCATTTAATAGCTATATAAACAGCCATATTTTTTTCATGTACATTCAGTAATTTTAATATGTTGCTACTCTACACTCAATACAAATATTTTTGTGGAAGCATTAGAAAGGATAAAAGCAGACATAATACGTCCCCTCTAGGAATAAGGACATTGTCCTATAGAGCCACTCTACTGTTTTTTAATCCGAAGAATGACAATAAGGTTATACTGTCATCTAATATCCAGTCCCTATTCAAATGGCTCCATTTGTCTGGCCAATAATATTTCTAATGACCTTTAGAACATTAAAAGAAAAGCTAACCCCTTTATACAACTACCTAAAGATATTTTAAAAAAAAGAAAAAGAAAAAGAATCACATGGGTAAAAATTTGGTCCAATATTGACTTCTTAAAAAAAAAAAAGATATTCAGTATCCACAGAATAATTTTTTTTTTTTTGGTCGATCGTGGGGCTTGAACTCTGGGCTTGGGCGCTGTCCCTGCGCTCTTCAGCTCAAGGCGAGTGCTCTACCACTTGAGCCAAAGCGCAACTTCCAGTTTTCTGGTGGTTTATTGGAGATAAGAGTTTCACAGACTTTCCTGCCCAGGCTGGCTTTGAACCGTGATCCTCAGATCTCAGCCTCCTGAGTAGCTAGGATTACAGGCCTGCGCCCGGCTAATCATTGCTTTTACATATGTTTTCATTTCAATATTTGTTTTTGATAGTGGTAATGGGTAGCGGAGCTCCAGGCCTTACACTTAGTAGGTGGGCACTCTAATATTTGGGCCATTTTTCAACATTTCTAAAAAACAGTTGAAACATTTTTTTCATAGCCAGTTAAACTGTTCTTCCATGATCATTTGTGTAACTGTTTCTTTGAGACTGGGTTCATGATACAGTTGGTAGGATTACTACACAGGTTATACTGCACCCTTCTTAATGCATCACTTCAGTAGACATGTACGTTTTTTGGATTTGATTGTGGGTGACATTAAGTTTGATCACTTAGTAAGATGGTGAAATTTGGCTTTAATAATCATAGCTTTTAAGAGCTTTTGTCTACTCTTATTAGTTATCATCCTTAGCCAATTCAATAAATTAGAGACTTTATTTAAAATAAGCAGACAGAATGCTAGAGAAAGACACACTGTCCGCATTTCCCTTGACAAGAATGGAAGAGGCACTTGAACCTGTCAACAAGCATACAATTAAGCCACTGCATCTACATTGTGACATCTGACCATCGCATTTTTATTTTTTTTAATGCACATTGCCTATAAGAACTTTGTGTTCAAGGTAAAAGAGCATTCTGAAAATATATAAAGCCAGTAGTAATGATAGTAAAAGAAGAAAATGGGTGTATTGCTCATTTTAAACAAGCAACTATAGCCAGTTTCCATTACCAATAACTCGTAGAAGAGTTTGAATGTAGTAGGAGCAGAAAATAAAATACAGTCTGCATTTAAATGGTTACAAAAAGTGCATTCTCCTGTGCCTAGTGCTCATCAACTGTTTTTGGAATAAAGGCTAATTCTAGAAAAGATATCTCATATATAACGAGCAAATATTTATGCCACACCATATGCTAGATATTCTTGTACCTGTTGTCTCCATTTGTCCTCAAAAATCTTTCTATTTTTTATATGGAGTAATAATGTAGGCTCAGGAAATTTCTGTAAGCTTCAATAGATTTTGAAGTTATTATGTTTCAGTTTATCATTTGAATAGGTATCTATATTACTTTTAACTGTAAGTCATAACTTGCAGCTTCACAGAACATATCTTTAGGGATAAGTTTCAGTTATACTTTTCCTTGATTACAATCATGAAAGAGAATGGGATAAATTAAGAAATGAATTGGAATACAGAAACACTTCATAGTTATCTCATCCTTCAGGGAAAAATGGGTAAAGAAGGAGGTATTTCTTCTTTCTGTTCAACTATAATGCTTTCTGAAAACAACAAATAATTCATGAGGATTTTAATACAACACTCTGGTTAAAAATCTCACTATAGGCCCGGCGCTGGTGGCTCACGCCTGTAATCCTAGCTATTCAGGAGGCTGAGATCTGAGGATCGCGGTTCAAAGCCAGCCCGGGCAGGAGAGACCGTGAGACTCCTATCTCCAATAAACCACCAGAAAACCGGAAGTGGCGCTGTAGCTCAAGTGGTAGAGCGCTCGCCTTGAGCTGAAGAGCTGAGGGACAGCGCCCAGGCCCAGAGTTCAAGCCCCACGACCGACAAAAAAAAAAAATCTCACTATAAGGGCTGGGAAGGTGGCTCAGTGGTAGAGCACTTGCCTTGCACGCCTGAGGCCCTGGGTTCGATTCCTCAACACCACATAAGCAGAAAAAAAAAGCCAGAAGTGGCGCTGTGGCTCAAGTAGTAGAGCACTAGCCTTGAGCTGAAGAGCTGAGGGACAGTGCGCAGGCCCGGAGTTCAGGTCCATGACTGGACCCCCCCCCAAAAAAAAAAAACTCACTATAAATTAAAATAAATTTTTTCCCTATAATTTTTAATTCATGAAAGCAGTCCTTGAACATTTGTTGGTAATATTAAGGTTATTGAATAGCTAAGTAATATATTTTTTTTTTTAAAATTTTATTTTATTTTATTTGAGAACATACTGTACAGAGGGGTTACAATTACATGGGCAGGATAATGCATACATTTCTTACCAAGCATTGCAGCCTCCTCCTTTGTTTACCCTTCACCTCCCTTCCCAGCCTCCCCCCTCCCTCCCACCCAATCATACCCCCCCCCTCCCCCCCCCACCGACATTGTAAAGCTGGTTTTGACATGACATTTTGTACTTCTCATTGTTGCAACAGGTCCACCTGAATCCTTAAACGACTTGTTTGTCCCCGTCTCCTCCACATGTTATACTGACATCAAATATAGTGAAAGCAGGGGTTACACTGTGGGGGAGGGACATACAAAGCAACAAAGAAATAATCTTATAAATGCATTAGAAACACATGCATGAAAGAAACAAAAACATTAAAATACATATTTGAGGTTTTGTTTTCCTAACATCACATTATCTGACTTTTTCCGCTTGACTCATACCTATACTAGATATTGCAAATAAGGGAAACCATGGGACCTATGTTTCTTTGGGCCTGGCTTACTTCACTTAATATAATTTTTTCCAAGCCTTTCCATTTCCTAACAAATGGGGAAATGTCATTCTTTCTGATGGAGGCATAGAATTCCATTGTGTATATATACCACATCTTCTTGATCCATTCATCTACTGAGGGGCATCTGGGTTGGTTCCATGTCTTAGCTATGGTAAATAATGCTGCAATAAACATAGTTGTGCTGGTAGCTTTAGTGTGGCCTTGTTTGTGATCATTTGGGTAAATGCCCAAAAGTGGGATTGCTGGGTCGTTGGGGAGCTCTATGTGGAGTCTTTTGAGGAACCTCCATACTGCTTTCCAAAGTGGTTGAACAAGTTTACATTCCCACCAACAATGAAGTAAGGTTCCTTTCTGTCCACATCCCCTCCAGCATCTGTTGTTGTTAGAGTTCTTGATTTTTGCTGTTCTAACTGGAGTGAGGTGATATCTCAATGTTGTTTTGATTTGCATTTCTTTTATGGCTAGGGATGTTGAACATTTCTTCATGTGTCTATTGGCCATCCTTCTTTCTTCTTCAGAGAAGCTTCTCTTTAAGTCTTTCGCCCACTTACTTATTGGGCAGTTGTTTCTTTGAGGATTTGTTGTTGGGTGGTTTAATTTTTTGAGTTCCAAGTATATTTTAGATATGAGACCCTTGTCCGTTGTATGGCTAGTAAAGATCTTCTCCCAGTCCGTGGGCTTTCTATTGATCTTGCTAGCTATGTCATTTGCCCTGCAGAAGCTCTGCAACCTTATACAATCCCATTTGTCCAGCCTTTCTTTGATTTGTTGTGTTTCCAGGTCTCTATTCAGAAAATTTCGGCCTGAGCCAAGGAGACCCAGGGTTTCTCCTATTCCATCCTGTAATGTTTTCAGAGTGTCTGCTTTGAGTTCAAGGTCTTTGATCCATTTGGAGTTGATTCTGGTGCAGGGTGATATATAAGGATCTAGCTTTAGTTTTCTACATGTAGTTAACCAGTTTTGCCAGCACCATTTACTGAAGAGGCGGTCTGTCTTCCATTCTATTGTTTTAGCTCCTTTATCGAAGATTAGATGGCTATAGGTCTGTAGGTTCATTTCTGGGTTTTCAGTTCTATTCCATTGGTCCTGAGGTCTGTTCTTATGCCAATACCAAGCTGTTTTGATTACTATGGCTTTATAGTAGAGTTTGAAATTTGGTATTGATATTCCTCCAGCAGTATTCTTTCCGTTGAGGAGCGTTTTTGCTATTCGGGGTCTTTTATTGTTCCATATGAATTTTTGGATTGCCTCTTCTATTTCCTTGAAGAATGAGGGTGGAATTTTGATAGGTATTGCGTTGAATTTGTAGATAGCCTTGGGCAGTATTGCCATTTTCACGATGTTAATCTTTCCAATCCAGGAGCATGGGAGGTTTTGCCATTTTTTAAGTTCTGTGTTGATTTCCTTTTTCAAGATTTTAAAGTTTTCATCATAGAGGTCCTTCACTTCTTTAGTTAAGTTAATTCCTAGGTATTTTATTTTTTGTGAGGCTATTACAAATGGAGTTGCTTTCCTAATTTCAGCCACACTTTTCTCATTGTTGGCATACAGAAAAGCCATTGATTTTTGGGGGTTAATTTTATAACCTGCTACTTTGCCAAAGTTTTGAATCAGCTTGAGTAATTTGGGAGTGGAGTCTATGGGATTCTTTAAATACAAGATCATGTCATCTGCAAAGAGGGAGAGTTTTATTTCTTCTTTCCCTATTTGGATCCCCTTTATGTCTGCATCTTGTCTTATTGCTGTAGCTAGGCATTCTAATACTAGATTGAAGAGAAGTGGAGAGAGTGGGCATCCTTGTCTTGTTCCTGAGTTAAGAGGAAATGGCTTTAGTTTTTCACCATTGAGTATAATGCTGGCTGTAGGTTTGTCATATACAGCCTTTATTGTATTGAGGAATGTTCCATGGATTCCTAATTTTTCCAAAACCTTCATCATAAAGGGGTGTTGGATCTTGTCGAATGCTTTTTCTGCATCTATTGAGATAACCATGTGGTTCTTATTCTTGCTCCTGTTGATGTGATGAATAATATTAATTGATTTGCGTATATTGAACCAGCTTTGCATCCCTGAAATGAATCCTGTTTGATCGTGGTGTATGATTTTTTGGATGAATTGTTGAAGTCGATTGGCCAAAATTTTGTTGAGAAGTTTCGCATCAATGTTCATCAAAGAAATGGGTCTATAGTTCTCTTTCTTTGATGAGTCCCTACCTGGTTTTGGGATGAGGGTTATGATGGCTTCATAGAATGTGTTCGGTAGTGAGCTTTCTCTTTCAATTTCATTGAAGAGTTGGAGGAGAATTGGTGTGAGCTCTGCTTTGAAGGCCTTGTAAAATTCCGCTGTAAAACCATCTGGTCCTGGACTTTTCTTAGCTGGGAGGTCTCTTATTGCTGTTTCTATTTCAATGCTTGATATGGGCCTGTTAAGATAGTTTACCTCATCTTGGTTTAGTTTTGGCATGTCAATATTTGCTAGGAAGAGGTCCATTTCTGTCAAGTTCTCAAACTTATTAGCATAAAGTTTTGAGAAGTATTCCCTTATAATGTTCTGAATCTTGCTTGTTTCCGTGGTGATGTTTCCATTCTCATCTCTGAGTTTATTAATTTGGGTGTGTTCTCTTCTTTTTCTGATAAGATTTGCTAAGGGTCTGTCAATTTTGTTAAGTTTTTCGAAGAACCAACTCTTTGTTTTGTTGATTCTTTCTATAGTTTTTTTGGATTCTAATTCATTTAATTCTGATTTAATTTTGATTATTTCTTTCCGTCTACTGGATTGGGGTTTATCTTGCTGCTCTTTTTCAAGAAGGTTTAGATGTGTCATTAAATTGTTAGTTTCAGATCTCTCCAATTTGTTGATGTAGGAGCTCAGAGCTATAAACTTGCCTCTGAGTACTGCCTTTGCTGTGTCCCAGAGGAGCTGGTATTTTGTGTGTTCATTTTTGTTGAATAGCATGAACATTTGAATTTCCTTTCTAATCTCTTCCATGACCCACTCATGATTCAGCAGTGTGTTGTTCAGCCTCCATGTGATACCGGACTTTCTTTGGTGGCTTTTGGTGTTGAGTTCTAACTTTATTCCCTTGTGGTCAGAGAGAATGCAAGGTATA